TAGAAATTAAGCATTATTTCAAATTGAAAAATAAAAATATTTTTAATAGAAAAATGACCATTTTTCCAAAACTTTTAGACCTGGTTTCCTTTAGAAACTTGTCAATCCATTAACCAGCTTCTGCATATTATTTTTCTTAAAAAAAAAATCTGTGCTTTCCAATATTTCACTTTATTCTGGCCTCACACTGCTCAGGAGTCTCCCAGTCCTTTTCAGTCTGGCTCTTTAAAGTTTCGGACACATGGTACCGGAGACTTCTCCAACTAAAGACAAATATCTCTAACAATGTCTTACTGTTCAGCACAACTTCCCAGTTTGGCAGTTTTGTGCTTTTAAATCATCACAGGATCACAAGTGATCTTTAATTATGAACAGGGCAACACTGTAGTTTCTTCTCAAAAATGAAACTGTACTTTCTTACAATGATTTACTGCAGTGAAATTTGGTGAAAAGATATGGGAAATCTGTATCACAACTGAATGATTGGTAAAACTAGTTCTGCACAAGATTAACTACATATTATTACAATAAGACAGTGACTCACTTGTCACTGCTAAGCACAGAGATTCTGTTTGACAAACTAGATCCGTCAAAAATTAGTGAACTCCCTACACCCATCTGTATTCTTATTAACACTCGCTCTGTAACTTAAATGTTAAAACAGTAGGACCATAGGAAAGCTTAAGAGAACTAAACAGGTACGCACCTCTAAACAGCATTAAAAAGAAACAAAAAGAATAAACCAAATCTTTGATAGACAAGAACAGGAAAAAAAAATACCAAAAGATTAGGTAAAAGACATAACTTCTTCAAAAGTTGAGTTATTCAATATAAACCTTGGAGCAAAACATCTGGACCTACTAACATGAGTTATCCTCTCATTACAAGAGGATTAAAAATATTACAAATGTCATTACAAGACATTTCTGTAATAGATGGTGGCTTACAGTCTTAAGCTGAGGACTTAAGCGAACAAAAAAAGGCACAAAAACCCTTCAGCTTAATTAGCCCTCCAGGAATAATAAAATTTATTTCTCCATCATCAGGAAGAAGTCATATAATTAGCGCTATAAAGATGATCGAGGCCTGGAACATCTGCCCTGTGAGCAAAGGCTGAGGGAGCTGGGCCTGTTCAGCCTGGAGAAGAGAAGGCTGAGGGGGGACCTGATCAGTGTCTATAGATACCTCAAGGGAGGCAGTGAGGAGGAGGGGGCGGCCTCTTTTCAGTGGTGGCCAGTGATAGGACTAGCAGAAACGGCCACAAGCTGAGGGACCAAAAGTTCCACAGGAACTTCACGAAAAAATTTCTTAAYAGTGAGGGTGACAGAGCCCTGGCACAGGCTGCCCACGGAGGTTGTGGAGTCTCCCTCTGTGGAGATCTTTAAAACCTGCCTAGATGCCGCCCTGTGCTCTGGGTGACCTTGCATGAGGAGGGGGGTTGGACTAGATGACCTCTGAGGTCCCTTCCAACCTTAAGCATTCTGTGATTCTATGATTCTATGAACCATCACACTGACAACTGCCTTTCCACTTCTCCCGTGGTGCTACATCCATCCCTTTCACACATTCTGCTCACAAGTGTCTTCTTATCATCCTGGCACATGGGTCTTTCCCTGGATCTAGAGCTTCCAAGGTCCAAGAGAAGATAATTTATCCTTGCCCACTCCTGACGCTTGTGATACAGACTTTTTTCTTTTCTTTTTCTTTTTTTTTTTTTTTTTTAAAAAAAACAAAAAAGATTCATTTTCTATACTATGAACTACACAGGCCTTTGCTGAAGAGCAGCACCATTACAGTGACATTACCATGGCGGTACTGAAACGGTGCCTCCAGCTACATTCACTCCTCTGCATTCCTGTAACTTCAATGAATTTGATTGAGGGCTGTTGGTGATATGCTGAGCTTACTGCTAGATGTTTCTCACAGCAAATAAATATGAAGTTTTAAGGATTAGTATCTCTGTGTTTTGCTCCCCAAAGAAGGGCAGTTACATAAGCTGTGAAGCAGAGTTAGAGTAAGGAGTTTAGGTAGTTACCACCACTAGCGGGATGAGGTACGTACCTATGTGAACTTAAACTTGGCTTTTTTCTACTCTCAAAACACTGAGGGCCATCATTTTTACACTTTGTATTCAGACTACCTTCAGCATCCCTTTAAGCCCAAACTTTGCAAAGTTTATTTTGCAGTACAACAGACCCATAGCAAAACAGAGCTTATCTTGCTGAGGAAGCAAATTACTTACCTTAAAAATTCAATCCTGAGTGCTTAATTATGTCTTATGCATTTAAATGCAATGTATTATGCACTCAGTATCCAGTATCCCTCCCTCAGCATCCCTTACAAATGTCATGTTAACTTTAGTCAAGCTGTTATAGTCAGTAAATCAGCACCACAGTAGAGAAGGAAAAGGCACACACGAGATCAAAGCACTATAAACTACAGAGATGTTGGACAGAATTTCAACAATTAACTCTGAGGATACACACTGTATAACACACGCTGGTGTAAACTTTCAGTGCAAATTTTTAAAAATCATTCTGAAGGCTTTATATCAGTAAAAGAGCTTTTCCTAAGAAGTACACCCTCAAAATGTCTGTGCTGTTGACCYTCTTATTTTCTCCCCTTCCCCCTTGCCTGTCATCTTCACGACTCACCCGGTGACCACCGCACTGTGGCAATACCACTGCAAAGCTTCCTTCCTCCAACTTCTCTACAGAGTCATTAGGATGAAGTCTCCCCTTGCTCCTTATTGTTCCACTAGCTTTCTTTTCTCACCTGTAGCTGTGAYTAGCTCACCTCACAAGCTCCCTTCATGGCCTTCCCCCACTGCACCACATCTGCTTCAGTGCTGAGAGTCCAAGCCCAATCTCAAACTAGCTCCTTCACTTACTCCTGCGCTAAGTTTCCACATCCCTCTACTCTTTTCCCAACTCCTGTGTTACCATTGCCAGGCCCTCTGCAAAATCACTGCTATTTCCCTCGAAATCTGCTCTACATTGTGATTTTGAAAAATATTTAAAAAAGTATATAGCAAGGTATGCTACATGCCAGCACTYCCCATACCAACTAACCCTACTGCTGTTTGTGCCTCGCCGCCACCCACGCTGCTGCTTTCCCTTCTGTTCAAAACCAATTTCTTTCAGCTATCTTCCAGTTTGGGGTTTGTTCCTGCTCATGCACTGATGTACRATCACAGCCCCTAGAGATCATAATAACATAAGCAAAAAGTAATAGACTTAAGTAATAAAGCATAACATTTCCACTAGCTATAAAATGACTGCAATTCCTTTCAGTAAACAAGTTCCACTACTCYCTCAGCTCTGATTTTCTCAGATATTTCTCTTATTTTAGAATCTTAGGCCTCAATCTTTTTATAAGTAATAAAATCCAAGGTGTCTCTGTCTTTTTTTTGTTTGTTTGTTTTAAACTAGTGCCTAACTCAGCCATACAAGTAAACAGAAAGACTCTTACACAAGTACACAAATAACCAGCTCCGTCCTAGACCCTGTATTTGAGGCTCTCACACTAAATTGTCTAGAAATTATCTGTATTTGAGGAGTCTTCATTTCTGATTTCTGTATCCACTTAAGAAGCACGAAARGCTGCCAAAAGCCTCATCTGTGGGAGCAGTCAGGAGCTGGGTCCTGCTCTGGTGCACACCATGCAAGCTGCAGCACCCGTGGCACCAGCCTCACTTAGTCTCTGCCTGGTCACCTCATTCCTCACCTGAATCTCACACTGTGCAGTTAAGTGTCATACTAATTGCAGGCTCACCCATGAAGGGCCCAAGCATTTGAGGTCTGTAATTTAGAAAGCAAAGTATGAAAGCAGAAGACATTAAGTTTTGAGATGTAATATAGAGCAGTCTTTTCAGGGGTCAAATATCCAAAATATTAAGCAACAAACATCAATTCTGTATGTCGTCACACATCTCCACAAAGTAGCACTTYCTAATGCTAAAATAAATAAAAATCAACCCTCCCTGCTTATTTTACTGCCAAATACGAAAATGTTAGAGGGTGAGCTACCTTTACAAACAATCAATACTCTTAAGAGCACAGAAGCATCCTGCAAACCAAAGACTATCTGATGGGATCCTAAACATCCTATCGTGTTTGCCTAGAAGCTACTCCTGTATGTATTAGATGATCCACCCAAGAGAAACTCTATAATTTGAGACGTGGCACTCACTGCATTGTGGCACTGCTCTTTGGTGCTTGCCAAAGCTGCAGGATTTCTACCAACACTCCCCCTTGGCTGAAAGCCCTTAGGTCTGCTGGCGCGTGTGGTAGCTCGCTGCTTTGAGACACACACTGCTGCACTGCACAGGGCAGCACTAAAATAAAGCACTGGGAGTGACAGCACTAAGGAAAACTGATCGAGTTCTAACACTGCTGAACAAACACAAATATAACCTATTTACCGGATGACCTCAACCCCCCTCAAGCATGTGCTAATGCCATCTGAGGAATCAGCTGCTGTCACCATTTTCACTTTTTTGTACACAAAACTTGAGCCAAATGACATTTTAATGACTACTTATCATGCTTCGTGAATAACAATTCCATATATTTGACTTTTTAATAAGAGTAAGTGGTCTAAGTGGTCTGAACTCCTGAAAAGGAGACCATTTTAAGTTCATATGTGAAAATGGGAACCTAACAGTAAAATTTGGCAGTCTTTTAGTTACACAAAGTAACACTAAAAAAAGACATTTTTCTTTCTCCCATTCTAGAAAAAGTTCTGACTAGGCATTTCATGCAAATGGCTAATGCTACATTAGTATCAGAAGTATTTTTCTCAGTATAAGACAGCACTCAGACTTCACAGGTTGAAGAATATATAGGAATAATAATCATACAGGTTGAGGAATAATATAGGAATATATAGGAATAATAYATAGGACATGCGCTAAGATTTGTCAATCTTAGTACAGAAAGTAGGAAAAAAACAGTAGCTAATCTACACAACACAGATATTYCTAGGAAAAAGGTACACACCGAATTTTCTTCCTCCTCTTCCAGTTCTCTTTGCTGTTCTTCATGTCGCTTTGCTTTTATTTCCATAGCTTCAGTGATCAGGTCCCTTAAGATYGAAACTGGTTTGGCATTCTTGATAAATGTATGCTAGAAAACAGGATCATGGAGTCATATAACATCATTACATTAGATACTCTTCAAATATAATATAATTACAAGTCACACGTGTTAAAAATAACGTACCATTCAACATCAGATTTCAGTGGTAAGTAGTACTTCACATCACACAATAATTAAAATCCACACTAACACAACATGTGATATCTTTCAGCTGCTTTCTAACTAAGGTCGGATTGTTTTATTTAGCTGGGTTTTTAAACAGCAAGCCATGGGAAAATGTAAGCATATAACACAACTACTTTATAGTTAAGGATATAACTGTCCAAAGGAAATGTACATTAAGTAGTAAATAAATAAGTGGTGATTGTCTGACATAGAAAAGCAAACTTTTTCAGATACTCAGTTACAGCAGTTAATTAATCTTAACAAGCTGACAGCATAAATTAGTGGCTGTAAGCAGAGCAACTATGGCTGTTGCTTACTTCAACAAACCTGCACTTTAATATGTCATAAAACATTTCATCATCTACAATGCCAAAATGTGGAACAGGCAAAAGAAAATACACTACTTTAGCAGGAAGATTAATTTTAATTCAAAACCATTAAAATGTCACTCCCTCCTTTAAAGTAACATGTGCACAATGCAATTTACATTCAGCTCTAGTAAACACTTGTCAAAGACTTGGATTTTTGAGTCCTTGTAAAAAAAAAAAAAAAACCATTATCAAGGCAAAATGCACTTTGGAGTCTCAGAATTGTATTACTATTAAAACAAACAAACAAAAAAAACAGTTCTGCAAAGAAAAGGCTTGGGCAAGTCTAGTTGACATCTAGACATCTAGGCCTGTCTTCTCCCCTACCCTTTAAACTAGTCCCCTTCCTCTTCTCCACAATATTTGCCATCAGGAAGTACTTGAATTTCCAAGCATATCCCATAGCAATTCCAGTTCCATCAAACACCCTCCAATTCCAACTGAGGGGAAGGCAATAGGTAGGTACACTGGACAAATGATGGTTTTCTGGTCAGGAGGTGTGAGGGAAAAAGCACACTGACCATTTTCCTAAGTGTGTGCATTAATGGAAGTCTTTTCTATCCCTCAGTCTTCAAGTAACTATAGAGACTTCAAATCTTTAAGGCCTCAGATACTGCTTCACTCATCATATTCAAATTTAAAACTTGAAATTTGTACTGTCCTTCCACTCTATATTTGATGAGTTCATGGTGTGTAAAATAAGATAATTCCTACCATGACCCATGAATTTTGGGACTTATTACTGGAAACTACTTCCAAAAATTTTCATGGTCTTCTTGTAGCTGACTTAAGTTTCTGTTTTAAAGGAGGATATTTCTACCTAGAGATAAGATAGGCCAAAACTAAGCAACAAATTCAAATGCTGACCTGGAGAAGCTGTGTCGCTGTTGCTCTCTGTTCAGGATTTTTCACTAAACACTTCTTCACAAAATCTGTGAATTCATCAGACCAGAGCTCTGGCTTCCTGAATGTTGGAGGAGGGTTTGTAGGAATCATAAAAATAGCCTAGTAGAAATAAATAAGTTTTATAAGTAATATAAGTTACAAAACAAAAAAATACAACAATAGTAAGTTTAGACAAAAAGAAAGTCATCATAGTACTGCAGCCAAGTAAGTAACTGCTTCATTCCCTTTTTTTTTTTTTAATCAGGTTAAGAATCTGGAAGACAAATTTTAAAATAGTCTAGGATTTCCACTAAGATTGAGATTCAGGAAGTTAATCCATCTGCTACTAATATTCCTACTTCCTATTAGATTTCCTCTATTTAAACTGTACCCCATTGAGCACATCACTCTTTATTTTATCTATTACTGTTTATCAGTCTCAAGAGATGATTTGGTTCTTTTGGAAATTCGTAACAGAAATAATGGCACTGCTTGTTCAAATAGATACGTATCAAAACGCTGCTATRAAAAGCCAAGTTCACCTTCTCATCTCAATTTCATTTAATGCTATAAGAGAAATACTAAGGAAAACTAGTTGGAGTATTTGCCTTGGTAGTCACAATTGTTTAGTTGTAATTTTAAAAACATGATTTTGCTAATACAATTTAAAATCAATGTTAAAAGACAGAAAGCAGTAGAAGACTGCAAAAACAGAACAATCTAACAGCTTGCTTTCCTGCAACAAGGGTTTACTTGACACTGAAAAGACAGCCTTTACCTATCTACATAAAGTTATAGGCTGCTGGAACCCTAAGCAGACAAATTCTACAACGTGGAAGAAGATTCATACCATCCACAGGAAAACAAAAATCTTGTCCTACTTAAGACTATATAAATTGTGCTATTTGTCTTATGAATTTTATCAGAATTTCTTCTGATTCTAAACATTTACATTTGTAGCAAAAAATAAATATATTCAAAAAAAGCAATGCACTTTTAAGAGGCAGCTGTAAAAGAAGTAGGGCAACTTTTAAATTGTGACCTTCTAYATGCAAACACAGACATTATCACTTCTTGCGACTTCCAAATGAAAGCAACACTATTCAGAACTAGGTCTACTGACTGAAGTAATACATTATTCTTCTAAAACACCGTTCAACTCTCCTACTGGAAGCAGAAGTTATTTAAGCATAATAGAGTTTGTTTCTTTCTACATATACAAAATACTGCTATATCATGAATATAGTTTACATAGCAGAGATATGAGAAGCTTCAGCCTGTATTTCAAACATAGAAGAGGTGACAGACTTAAGATTTTACCTATAATTTCTTAATAGGTTTGACTGGCCTTGAAAGCCAGTTTGCCTTGTTCAAGCTGCCAATTCTAGAATTCATTTCAGATGAAGAAAGGCAGAACCCGTGCTGAGCAATGCAAGGCCTTTTTACCCTAACTCTCAATTTGAAAGTTATTTTGGTACTAGACAATTCAAATGCCTAAGCATTTGCAGAACACCTTTACCTAACACAAAGCTTTCAGGAACAAATCCGCACATTTGTCTATAAATTATGAGGCACGTTGCAGTAGCTTTCTCTCTTCAGGGAGCAGCCTTGCCAGAGCAGTATGTGAATTCAGGTAGCAAAAGCAGCTCTCTGACATCAAGACCCGYAGCAAGTCACTTGCAGCACAGGTTTAACTGGCAGTACAGTTTATAGCACTGCTTCTGCTATAAAGCAGTGAATTCAACCATTTCTACCCTTTAAAGCAGTCATCTCTCCTGAACTTTGGACTGATGGTTTTTAATCTTATCACTAGACAGCCTTAAACTTTACAGATCAGCTACACACAGGTATAACACAAACTAGTAACTACTGCTTAGGTAGTGTAGAAAATGTCCATCTCATCCTTGACAAACACTGACCTGCATCTCAAAATAAAGACAAATCTAAGTCTAAGAGTCATATTCAGAGGAATGTCCTAGGAAAAAAAATGATTCCCTCTGAAAATAATTCTCAAAGAAGAACTACAAGAACTACATTGAAGAACTGACCTCTTTATAATATACAATGGACAGCAAAAAGAAAGTAGGAATCAATGAATTATTCTTCTATGGCAAGAAATCAAGTTTGAGAGTTAGAGTTAGGATTCCAAATCCTCATTCGTTGAAAATACCTACCACAGAAGAACTTCTGTTTAACACTTAACAACTCCAGGCTTTCTAAATCCTAATACATGATTTGTGCTGCATTACCCAGAAAGCAATTTTGGATGCATTTATTTTAAACAAGACAGGAACTGCTTATTGCATGTGCTTGATCCCACACACGGACAGTGTCGCTGGCGCCCTTCCCTCCGTCCCGTGTCGCTCGGGATGACGCTCGCTCCTCTCTTCCCTCCCAGCTCCCTGCTCTTGCCTTGCTTCACTCTCCGCATAAAAGTTAAGCTCCTGCAAAACACCATGATTTAGATTCCAACTACTTCTGTTTCCTTCCAAAGAGACTGCGGAGTAATCACTGGGAAGCTATTAAACTAGACCTTGATCTCCAGGAGCAAAAACAAAGTGCTCATCTGACAGAAATCTGTGCATCATTTTTCCTTCCACTTCTAGTCAAAACACGTTTTTTATATTCTAGTAGAATTCCTTCTCGCTCTAAAATAGAGCTAAGAAAATTTCATTCAGAAGTAGAAAAYACAAGAGACTTTTCACTTACATTGTTCTTTTATTTTACCCTGTATTTCTCCATTTACTTTCTTTACACTGGCTATCATTTGTACTCATTTTTTGCTTTCACTCCACTTGTAAATTTCTCTAAAAAATTCCCACTGCTTTTAGGATTAGTTCAGCTCTTCCAGCAGCAGGATGGAAGACAGGACTGGCACAACYAGCCTCAGGTGATTGATGTTTAAAATACCAGCACCAAACAGCACTTGATACGGGCTACCATCCACCTGATGACACAGGCTGAACTGGTGCTAACACCCACAGGAAACAATCAGGCAAAACCATTTCTCAGACAGAGCCTTGATGTACTAAGGAGGAGAGACAGGGTTTATTCTTTTTTCATCTTCAGCACCACCTTCCACATTTCCCTACCTATYTGGGACAGACTGGCAAGTCTTACTCAAGGTAACACATCAAATACACATAGCCAAGGTGTTAGATCATTCAMGTCCTAATCTTCAGTTTTATCAATTCAGTCAGCCTTGGAAAGGCATCTTCAAGTCATGGGAAGTCACAACTCAGACCTGAGGGCCCATGAGAGCTTATCCAACATTTGTCTTCACCAGTTTATAATAAAGATTCCCTTTCAAGTGGCCTGGACCAGCCTTTCCAGCTCTGAATCTCAAATCCACCTGGGTTGTACAGGTTCTTTCCTACCATTACTTTGAGACAACTCTAAACCATTTAGGGAAACCAGAATTCAAGGTGAGTTACAATCTACACATGACAAGTTAAAAACAAAAACAAAACACAAAAACATCATTCTCCAGGGGAGATTTCAGGTACCACTTTCAAATTGAGCATTGAGCAATTTAACAGTTACTATTGTAACCATTGCTGATTTACTCTGGAAACACTTACCAGGCAAGTACCCAGTCATGGCTGAGCGCTGCAAAGTGTACTAAGTCTCAAATAGCAGCAGAAATAAGCCAGCATATAATTTTCATTCTTCTTAAAAAGTCTATCATTTTAAATGAAGTCCAGGCTGATTTTTTTTTTTTTTCAAGGGCTCTTTTATGGACATTTTTATTGGCGTGAAAATGTAATCAGATGAATTAGGAAATGCCAAAAGAAAAATGAGAACCTCATATACTGCATTTGGAATTTCCTAATCGGGAAATCCTTGTAGTTCATTCGTCCTGTCAGTCAGGCTATACATCTGTGTTACTTCACACAGCCAAAGAACAGGTTAAGTAACCAACATTAAGTTGGCAGAGGGACTACATCTTTTTGTTTTCATCTCCTAGAATAAYTTCCCTGCTATTTAGTTTCAATAACAGTGTTTTACAATAAATCTTTGCAACTATAACTTTTTAACCTTATATAAGTTACATCCTGTTATTTAACTTGTTAAACTATTCTAAACTTTTTTTTTTGGTATTATTTGCCAAGTATAATCAATGCTGGTTGCTACTGAAGGAGACAGCAAAAATTTTCGCTGCCATGGTAATTTTGCCATTTTTATGCTATGAAATAATGCCAGACAATTCACAGGTAGAGAAGCTTTTTAAGCGACAGGGTAAGGATATAAGACATCCACACACAGCTTGTGCATCCACAGTTGGCCTTGGCAGCACATAGCTCAGTTAATCACTATAGTTCAAAACAGAAATTGAATAATTTTAAGAGCACAAAATCCTTTTTTTTTTTTTTTTTTTGGGGGGGGGGGGGTTAAACCTTGAATACTATGCCATTTTATTAGCTTTATGAGTAAGGGATTGGCTAAAATGAGCATAGTTTGTTCTGTGAGACGTATGTCAGAGCTTTCTCTCTCTCCTTCTACAGGAGGACTGCTGAAACATCACTAGCTGTTGCTAGCCTCTCTTCCAAGTAGCCACAAACACATGTGTCCGTAACAGCAAAGTTAGTACTTTAAGCCAATTGCCTCCCCAGAGCTAGAAAGACAAGCAGGGCACCCAGCATCTACCAGCCTGTCCCAAAGCCAGTTCTAGAGGTGGACAAACGGGTCAGACCCCCCGGCATTTTGGGCAGCCCTCACAGGACGCTGGGGACAACACAGCCCTTGAAGGCCCACGGGGTACGTGGTGCTAGAGAGCCCCACAGCAGCTCCCTGGCTCAGGCTGTGTGGCCTGCTGCCCCTGCAGCCCGACCYGAGGGAGGCAGAGATGTCCCCTGCTCCACAGAGGGARGGAGAGATTATTTGGGATTTTGTCCCTTGATTGACCTTTATGGGAAGCTACGGATTTCTTCTCCCTGGCAAACCACTGCCTGGGCACGTGTTGGGCCTGACTCCAGGCCTGTGGCCAGCAGCAAAGGGACAGCAGCTAACATTGCTGTACTGCACTATGCCGAGACCCACATCATTGAACTCACCAGTTTCCCTTTTTTTCCCCCCCATCAACAGCATTAAGAAAGTGCMTCTCTTCTGCTTAACAAACT